CTATACTACTAAGGGTACTTTATAACAACCCCCATTAAGGGATCTACTTTTTGGATCCCCGATATTCAGTGAGCTTTACACCGCCATGTGAAGCAAGCCACAACGTCGAGATCTAAGTCCAGGTGTTCGCTCATTCAAGGGTTGGTTGGTCGATCTACACCCAAAACCTTACAGGGCTGCGGGCTGTGATGGTTCCGGTTGGGGGAGGCATCCTACCGGCCAAACCGTAAACAAACGCCCAACCCCAAAACCCTGACATTATAGTAAACCCCAGAAAGTTGGAAACCGGATTAAGGACAAATAGCGCTGGGATTCCCTTTAAGGATTGAGGCTATGGGGTTTCCAACTTTAGGGCTTCTACTGTCTATGGACCCGAAGTAGCAGGATCCTCGCTTAAGACCTTCCAAAAACAAGGATCCTGATTATTAGAGCTCCTAAATACTAGGATCCTGATGATAAACCCCTCAGAGACTCCAATACCCCTCAATTGAGGAATGCACCTTAAATCATACTAGGGATCCTACTACTATAACTTAAAGTATATTCCTTAAATAAGGGATATTGGAGTCTCTGGCCCCAAGAAACGCACCCACGGGGGGTCTTTGGCTTACCGTTGGTTAGTAGGGAATGGAGGAATGGGGCACAAGTATAACTACTATTACTACCATTCTTCCATTCCCTACTACCCAAAGGTAAGTTATAGGATTATGCCCCTAAATTATAGATCCCTTATACTCACCCTTATAGACCCCTTTAACATAAGGCCCCTTTCATTCCCTACTGACCAAAGGTAAGTTGGGAGTGAGCCTGCGTCACGTACTGAACCAACCCTAAACCCTAAACCCTATACCCCAAACCCCAAACCCTAAGCCCTGGGGCCTGCGTCATGTACTGAACTGGCTGGCCCATCTCATCGACCAAGGTGACAGGCTGCCCGTTTTGGTCGACGTAGTAGGTGGCCCTGAGGATTTAGGGTTTGTCTTTTTTGAGGGTTAGGGTTTAGGGTTTTGGGATTTGGGGATTTAAGGTTTAGGGTTTGAGGAACTCAGAGACTTGAATATATCCCTTAATTAAGGAATATACCTTAAATCATAGTAGGGATCCCACTATAGTTCTTACGGAATATACCTTAACCTACTATAACTTAAGGCACATCCCTTTGTTAAGGGATATTGGTGGCCCTGAGGAATGGTGCAGCGTTTCGGGCTCAACGGCTCCACGGAGTTCGGGGGTCGGTCTCAGGATGACCTGGACCCTACGTCGGGTGTTCTCTCTTTTCCTCCTTGGAGGTGCATGGGTAGTTAGAAGTAGGGTTATAGGGGATTTTGGGTTCCTTTAAGGGTTCTATAGGGTTTAGGGTTTAGGGTCTAGGGAAGCTGTAAGTTGTAAGTAGGGTTACAAGTAGGGTAGCTATACTTATAACCCATATTAGGGGACGTATAACCCCACTTCTCACAACCCCTGGAATTCCAAGTGCCTTTCTGAGCTCTTACTGGAAGACGTGGCCGTTCGACTGAGGAGGTCGACGGGACATGAATCAAGCGAACTTGTCAACCTCCCTAGACCCTAAAAGCACTAAACCCTGAACTACCCTGAGCCCTAACGCGTAAACCCTGAACCCTAAGCCCTGAACCTTGAGTTCTGGTCCGAGTTGGGGCCCGCTTTTCACAACAATATACCGCCAGAAACTCGAGTAACGCCTGCGCTATGCCGTTGCCGTCCAGCAACTCCGCGGCAGCTGCGGTGATTGGCTGTCCAGCATCCATAGGCTGGTATGTCCTGAGAGGATTCCATAAGGTTCGGGGTTTAGGGTCATCTCTAACTCCTATCTATCCATGTATACGTGGTACTGTCGATTACATAATATAGAGGACGTATAGTTACCTAGACTACTTTGGGGGTTCCTTCTTACAGTCATAGTATAATGGGCCCCGCAACCCTATTCTAATATTTTTTCCGGCCCCTATATCATAGACCCCTACTATAGATCCCTTATAGAACCCCTTTAAAGGAACCCTTATTCAGGCCCTGGACTATGTGTGCAGCAGGACGAGACTTCTACAGCTGTCGCATCCGCAGCAAGTGAGTTCATGCGCTTCGGTTCGGATCGGCGGCCTGGGGAGGCGTGAAGGCCTGGAGCTGGGGTTTAGGGTTTAGGGTTTAGGGGTTTTGGGGTTTAGGGTTAAGGTACCATCATAAGGAAACCAGATTATTCACCGGAGATCCCTATGATGGTTAGGAACCTGAGTTTGGCTAACGCCCGTATCATCTACTATAGGTCCCTGAAATGGTGCCTTGAAGGGGGTAGTTATAAGTGCGGTTATAAGTCCCCTACTATGGGTTATAAGTTATAAGTATAGCTACCCTACTTATAACCCCTACTTTTCACTACCCCTGAACCCTAAACCCTAAACCTATAGAACCCTAAGAGGAACAAAATCTCCTATAACCCTACTTATAACTACCCGTGAACCTCCAAGTAACCCGTCCGAATCCCTTCCGGACTTTGCAATAACTACAAGAAGGAAGGAACCCCCACAGCAGTGATGGTAAATTATTAAGGCCCCTATATCATAGTACCCTTACAGTAACCCTTGTAGAACCCCTAAGAAGGATCTCGAAATAGGGAACCCTATTCATATTCTAATCATGAAGGCCCGCATATCGGTTCCTTTTGAAATGGGCCCCTGTCGTACCTTCAACTCGGTTCCTTTTGAAATCCGCTACAGCCTATAGAACCCTTTGAAGGAACCTTACATCCCCCATAACCCTAAGACCTATGACTACCCATGAACCTCCAAGTTGGAATGCCCCTATATCATAGTACCCTTATAGTAATGAACCCTTATAGAGCCCTTTTAAGGATCTCTTTAAAGGGATCATTAAGGCCCCTATATCGGTTCCTTGTGAGATGGGCCCAGGTCAACCCCGGGCTCCGACCGAACCCACCCTGCCCAGCGTCATGATCGGCTGAGCTGTCTCGGATCCGGTGTATGTCACCTGAGGTTCAGGGTTTAGGGTTTCGCGTTTTTTCTTAAAGCACCTTTTTCACCTGCAAGGGTTTCGGGTTTAGGGTTTAAGGTTTGGGTTTAGGGTTTAGGGGTTTAGGGTTTAAGGTTCAGGGCTTAGAGTGGAGACGCAGGGTTGAGGGTTTGGAATTTAGGATGCGTGGGGGTCAGAGGTGCTTTCAGGATTCTTGATGCGCTCTCAGATTGTTGTTCGTGTTTTGCTATGATGTACTCCCCTCCCCTCCCCTAGGATCATGGGATGCAGGCGTTTGAGGGATTTGAGCTAGGTGTTCACCCTTTCTTTGGCTACCGTCTTTATCATCATAGGACCCTATCCGTAAACTTGCCACACTAAAAGGGTACGATGGAGAGAAGAAGTAGGGTCTGAGACACGGAAACGGTCGCTTTGCTGAACCCGGCCCGAGAGCACTTCAGGATTTCGAGCCGACAACCGAAAGCGTGAGACATGCATCTTCAACACCATGGCGGCCGAATTCCAAGGTATATCGCCCTTGAGGGCTTAAGAGTGTCTCGGGTTCAGGCAAACCCAAGCCCTGAAACTCTAGAACCCTAAACCCTAAAACCCTCAAATCCCAAACCCAGGATTCGGCCGGTAACCTACAGGTTGCTGCCCAATGTTTTGGGTTTAGGGTTTAGGGTCTAGGGCTTAAGGCTTCAAGTTGGTCTTCATATTGCAATGTATGTTGTTTTACATCGATGTAGAAAACATACATTACAATGTACAGCATTCCAGTCGGCCCTGCCGACGTAGCTAGACCAGGGTGTCGGTGCAATTGTGGCAAACTTGAAGTTTCGGGGTCAGGGCTTTGAAATCTAAGGTTGGGGCTTACAGTTTAGGGATTCTAAGCAAAACAACAGTGACCAGGTTCCTGCTCTTTGGGCCAGGGTGCTGGCTGAGCCATTGCGTGAGCGAAAAGGGCACAGAAAGCGGGCGTCGGACTTTGAAAAGGCTGCCATGTAACATGTAGGTGTTCGGTGCAGCTGATCCGCAGCGGCTTCACACCATAAGCTGAAACCGCGAAACCCTACTTGGAGGTTCCGGGGTATTTATAAGTAGGGTTGTAAGTCGGGTAACTGTACCCTTATAACCCATATTAGGGGACTTATATTCCTACTTGTAACTACCCTGGGGCTCCTTAGTAGTTCCTTTTTGGGATTACCTTTCAGGATTCTATATATGAACCCCAAAAAGGTACTACTAAGGAGCCCTAGGGTACCCATGAAACTCCAAGTAAACCTAACCCCGAACTGCACATCTGGGAATCTGTGCGGGGTCTTTGCGCCAGTCGCGAAGTTTCGTGCTGGGGTCTTGGTAGGATCTGGATGAGTCCTCGCGGTTTCAAAGCATCGGTTTAGGATTCAGGGTTGAGGGTTTAGGGGGTTAGGGATTTAGGGGTTTAGGGGTTTAGGGGTTTATGGATTAGGGCAATTCTTTGGATTGGTAATTGCTCCGAGTTTCTGCAGGGTTTGGGACGACCCTGCCTTGAATCAAAGTTCTTTTTCTTTCCCACAGCAGGTCTGTAAGTCAAGGCGTTCGCAAAATGATGGCATCTGCTTAGTAAAAGATACAGAAGACCCCGCAGGGACACGCCTGTGGCTCCCAGGTGGTTGGCTTGAAGACTCGAAACACCCCACCACACTACCTGCCAGGACATACAACCAAAACCAACGTTCATGCTCGGGCCCATGCTGACAGGTACTCCGCCGTCGGTACAGACAAGAACCCCCAATCTTCCGAGAGGCACCTGGCTACGCAAAGACGATGACCCTCAGGACTTCTTTGGAAAATACAGGGCCCGAAGCACGTGAACGGAGCTTTGATGTTTGTACCTTCGGGCTTTGAAGCACTCGGAGATGCTTCGAAAATTCGCGAAAAATGATGACAACATCCACTTCATCTTCGGGCCCTGCATTAGAGCAGCGATAGAAAGCAATCCCATCGATCGCTGCTCTGAGATCTCTCGGCTGCAATTAGCAGCAGGCGGAGCTCTTCTTCTTCTTGCTCCTGAGCTTCAGTTGAGGGGGGTCTCTGAGGTTTCATGGGTCTTTCTGCTTGAGGGCAGTACAGGGTTCGACACATTTTGGCTTATTGGATTGCCGACTTAGTGGAATAATCCGACATTAAGGGCCCAACATGCCGTGAAGCAAACTAGGCGCCATGCCAGAACTTGCCCTAAGCAGACCAATTTTGTTGCCGGCCCAAAGAATCCAAAGCCCTTCAACGACGAAGTCCCCATGACTCCGTGTTTGAAAATCCCTGTGGTGCGGCTTTGAGTCTTAGATCCCTACAATGAACATTCGAAGCACCAACGCCTGAACCCTTTGTTATCCCGAGCCGCAGCGCAGCCTTGCGGATCAATCTGCAAACAAGAGGCTTCTTCTTGTCTGCCTTCCCCTGCAAGAAGCCAGTTCTTTTATCGGCAAGGTTGCATGTATTCCACTGCGTAACATTACAAATTGTGTGACCGCCTACAAGAACCCGACGGCCAACACAACTGTCTTTGATGCTCTATTTGAGTAGTGTTACTATTGCATCTTGTTGCTATTGCGATATTGCTGTTGTTCATGGTGCCGGTATTGCGAGTTTTTCAACGCCAATGACGGTGATTGGAGTGGCAAGGGTGGTCGTCGTAGTCGTTGTCGTAGTCGTTGTCGAAGTCGCAGTCGCGGTTGCAGTCACCAGTCGCAGTCGGGGTCGCAGGTCGCAGTTGCAGTCGCAGGTCGCAGTAACAGTAGCAGTAGCAGTAGCAGCAGCAGCAGCAGTAACAGTAGCAGCAGCAGTCGCAGTCGCAGTAGCAGCAGCAGGAGCAGGAGCAGGAGCAGGAGCAGGAGCAGGAGCAGTCGCAGTCGCTGTTGCTGTACATGTAGCTGTAGCTGTAGCTGTAGCAGTAGCTGTAGCAGTAGCAGTAGCTGTAGCAGTAGCAGTAGCAGTAGCAGTAGCAGCAGTCGCAGTCGCAGTAGCAGTAGCAGTAGCAGCAGTCGCAATAGCAGTGGAAATAGCAGTATATGTAACGGTAGCAGTAGCAGGAGAAGGAGCAGCAAGCAGGAGCAGGAGAAGGAGCAGCAAGCAGCAGCAGTATCAGTAGCAGCAACAGAGCGAGGAAGAACGAAATATTACATTGGTGGCTCTTAGGTTCCTACTGTTTAGGTTCCTGTGACACAGGATTTGGGGAGCCCACTTGGGGGTTGAAGGATATCAGGGTGGTTGTATGACTAGTTGGCAATCTGTATCTAATACTATTCCTTTGTAGCTCCAAAAGAATGAATAGTTTCATCAAAATACAATGCAAGCCCAATTCCTTTTTGAATCCAGAAAAATCTTGCCAGACCATCTAGAACACCCCAAGTCGAAGCACTACGGGCCCTATGTTGGCCTAAAGCGTTCAGGCTCAAACCGGGGGTCTCGGCCGAGTTCTCGCGACCTCGATGCTCGAAGATCCCCAAAACCCTGAAACCTTCGAAAAATCTTCCACGTCGGGTCTCACGGGGCTTTAAGGTTTAGGCTTGCGGGCTCCAATTCAGAGTTTAGAGGGTTTAGGGTAAGCCACTAGACGATTGTAGACCGGAAACAAAGACTCGGAAAACAACCCTGGACCCCTTACGTAAGCCCTGAACTCTAAACCCTTACGTATCAAAGACACTTTACATAGAACCCTGAACCTTGCGACATCAAATCCGCAAACAAGGAATCAAGCACCACAACGCAACAAGGTCAACCCGGGAACCCAAAAACGCAAGCAGTAGCACGATAAATTTTGACCCCCCGCCTTCCCGATGCAACCCAGCCCGCACCCAGCGCCGCACCCGCCGCGCCGCGAGCTGCATGCCCATGGAGCGAAGACAAGGCCACCGCCACACCCCGTGCATCGCGACCACGTGAAGCGCAATCCCCGCTTCCACGCCGCACCCCGTATCGCGAGCTGCTCGGTGGACCGCCTGCGCCGCACCCGTCAGCGAAGCACCCCGGCTCCCACGGCAGGTGAGCCCGGTGCCACAAATGCCGCACCCCGTATATATCGTGAAGTGCTCGAACCGGTGCCGCAACCCGCATCGCGACCTACCGGTGGAAGCCACCCCGCACAACGCACCCCCCGTAATGCGCATTGCTTGCACGGCCCACCGCACACAACCGCCCCAACCCGCGCCGCACCCTGCATCGCGACCCGCTCGGTGTAACCCCTCCGATCCCGCCCCGCATCGCACCTCGGTGGATTCGTTGGACGAGACTTCTAAAGAAGATCCCAGGGAAAAACCTGGCAAAAACCTGGCAAAAAGGATGTTCGCGATTGGCGCTGGGCGCAGCCTTGGCGAGCTGCAGTCACACTCTAACATCTTGCAAATTGCAAAGGCTACTCAAGAGGTGTAAAGCTAAGTGGATTCCCGATGTGATTTCGCAACATCTCACCCAGGCCCTTGGCGGCACTTCTTCGCAGCATCTTCAATGCTTCCCCGCCACTTTGGGGCACCTTTCTCCATAATGCGGGAGTGATGACGACAAGTTATAACTAAGGGCTCTTTCGGAACACAATTTGATCCCGCTTCACAAATCCGCCACACCAGGAGGTCTGAATGGCTGTAGCGGCCTGTCTTGCCTGAGGCGTCGTACATCGCTAACCACGTGTAAACACGATGCACTGGGATCCATGCACCTGCACTTTGCCCCGATCACTGTAAGACTCAAAGACTTTTGCTAAGACTTTTGATCATGGCCAATTGCGGACCTGAAATCTCTCCACACCTCCGTAGCTGCCCCCAAGCACACCAAATAGTGAATAGGTGCTGGTCTTCCTGGAATCGAGAAAAATCCAGGAGCTTGAGGTCAATGGGAGCAGCCAAACACACCTTCCAGTCAACATTGACTGTGTGCCGAAGTCTAGCACCTTGCTAGACCAGGCTGTTCTTGACCTCAGGGCCCCAGGCCAGCCTCAATTGCAGATTTTATGGCACAAAGCTTTGCAAAGAATGTGCTTGCTTCAACTTTGAAGCCATATCTGCAAATGTAAATTTGCCATTCAGAGGCAGGCAGGCAATGCTCCACTGTAGCAGCAAGCTCACAGCGTGACCTGTTGACGGCAACCTGAAGCTCTTCGCTGGTGGCCTCTGTCCTGGCATATGTTCTTCGAGGAACCGCCGTTGTAAGTTTGCCCGCACGCTGCAACTCTTCAAGAAGCTCGTTGGCCTCGGAGAACCACTTGTGGTGGATCCCAGAATAGAGGATTTCATTGCTTTTCAACAATCTCCCCATATGCTTGGCCTCATGGAGCTTGTAGCCATAGACTACGCGGATCGGCTCTTCGGGCAGTCCGCAGCATGACAACCGCTGCTTGCAGCCCCCCATGTTGCCTCTGTGGCTCATGATAAGACAAAAGGTATGAGTGTCTGGCTGACGGCCTGCTGTCAAGGCCACATGGTTAAACTCATGTCTCAACAACTATGCCTTGCAGGATTTGTCATTCCTGCCGGTAGACAATTTTTGCATGTGACCTTTTTGCGACACTCTGGATCTGAGCCTCCCGGGCATCGATGCAAGGTTCAAGAACGGATCCATTTTTGCATGTGACCTGAACCTTCAAGATGAATCCCTTGCCCTTGCCCTTCGCCCATCGCCCAAATCCAAGGAAAGAAATCCAAAGCTACGGTTGAGGGCGTAGAGTTCGTAGTATGTCGTGTCTAATTAGGGTGTCTAGATTCTAGATTTAAGGATGAAGGTCTCCGGATCTAGGATCCTTCGGAAAGCTACCCCTAGACCCTGAACCCTGTGGCACCCTTAAAGGAAACCCTTACAAAAAAATGACAAGGAATCTAAAACACACTTAACAGCCGAACCCCCGGTTTTGAAGATGCAAGGATGCCTTCGCAACCGGAGCCGGGGCACCTTGGCGTTGGCTTAGAGATGCAGGGCTTAGGATTCACATCAGGATCTCATATGGTGTGATCAGGGAGTTACAGCCCTGTATAGGATTTGAAATAGGGATTTTTCTGAATTTATATAGTGCGTCTTGAATCTTGGTAGAGATTTTGTGCTTTACTATGGTGATGCTCGTCATAAAGCCCTCTAAGGTGGGGTTTGCCTTCCTGTTTGGATATAGGTCATTATTCAGGGCTTAACAGACTTTGGATCAGGCTTGTAGGTCCAAGGTTTGTGGCTTCGGGCATGGGGTTTAGGCTTCAGAGTTCAGGGTTCCTGCCTCTGATAGCTGAAATGCTCTCAACAGGCACATTGGCAGTTCAGGGTTTAGGGTTTGGGGCTCAGGGCAGGGACTATACACAGCCTCTGTGATGTTGGAGACGATACGGACACTTGGTGACCACTTGTTCTGTTAGGCTTTGAATTTGGGCGGATGGCTACTAAACCCTATACCCCTAAACACTAATCACCTGCATCTCAAGCCCGTTATATAGGGTTGGGTTCAGAGCTTGCTCTGAGTTGGGGTCCCCAGGGCCAGGATACGACTGTTCACGCAACAGCTAAGCTACGTAGACCATGAATGCGTCCATCACTGCCCTAAGCCGGGGATCGGTCATGGCTGTGGATTCAGGGTTGAGGTCCTCCTTTCTGAGGCCCATTTGTTCTCCCGATTCAAGTGTGTGACTGACTTGAGAAGCAGAGCCCTCAGGTGGGATTGACAAGGAATGACTAATCGCAAGCAGGCCCTGTAACCACGGGTTACAACGACACTCTCGCCAAAAAGAACCCCAGCATGTCAGAAACCTCCGAAGTGGATCCACACTCCCTGCACCAATTACCCTACAGTTCAATGCATGTGACACGGAAACGAGGGCTGTTAAAAACCTTAAAGCCCCGCGAACACTACCATAAGACTCATGCCTTAAGCCCTGAACGCAAATACCCATAAGCTGAACCTGAGACCATGGACAATGAACCTTAAACCCGAAGCCCTGAACTCTGAACCCCGAACCTTAGGGAATTAACCCCTGAACCCCAAGATGTGTCGTTCGCAACTTTAGGCTTGGGTTCGGGGCTATGTGCCTGGGAGCAGCGAAGGCTTGGGGTGGACTTCTCAAGATTGGAGGCTTCGTGAAACATGGCTTGGAGATTGCAGAGCGCTCTTGGTGTCGCCTGGAGCCCCAAGCGTAAAGCATGTCAAAATTCTGCCAGGGTTTACAACTCGTCAGACTACAAAGGCATGCAACCCTAAACCCTCCGAGCACACAGCTACGCTACTACTCGACTCGTACGAACCGCACCTCAAATCCTAGCTCTGGGTCCATCCTGCAGCCCGCTCCACGCTTCGCAAATGCTCATGAAGTTGACAAGCCGAAACCCTCAATGCTGAAGCATCGACTCCAACACCCACAGGCTACATCCACAAACCCCCTAAGGTCTAGACCCTCAAGCCTACAACCTAGGCTCGACAGACCTAATCTAGAGGCCTCAGTAATTACCTACACTATTGTGAGGGTATACTGGGCACCAAAAACCCTGTTCCAAGCATTAAGGCATTAAGGCCCCTGTATTACATCGAATTACCCCCGAAACCGTAAACCACGCATCCAAGACTTCCGACTCCTGAACGCCAAGTCATAAACTTTATGCCCTACTTAGAGCTTCAGGGATAGATATAAGTAGGGTTAGAAGTCCCCTAACATGGGTTATAAGTATAGTTGCCCTACTTATAACCCTGCTTGGAGGGTGTAGGCCCTAGCCAGAAGGCTACAAAAACCATCGATCTCCCCAGTTTGAACATTAAAAAAGATTAACCATAAAACAAAAAAATATAGCAAAAGCCCTAAATCCGAAACCCTGAAACCGGAAATGCTCGAACATTGAAACCCTATATGCCTTAAACCCTGCAGCCTTAACGAAAGGGGGGCTTCATAATTAGAATTGGGTTTGGGGGCCCATTATGCTACCTATACTCGCGAAACGATTCGGTCGAAGAGCTGGCCACGCCGGTCATGGATTTCACGGCTTCGGTCATGGCGTGGTGGGCCTGACCGTAAAACCATTAACCCTAAATTGTAGTATCCTTAAGGGAGGGGGGTCCAAGGGGGGTATATAGCCTAGTGATCCCTAACTCTCCCTAGTACTCCCTAAGGTTCCCCTAAGGATTCCTTGTACCCTCCCCCCTTGAACCACCCCCCCTTAGGATCCCATAACTAAACCTAAACCCTAAACCCCCTGAACCCCAACATCCTTCACCCTAAACCCCCTTAACCCCAAAAACCCAAAACCCTAAACCCCTAAAACCCTAAACCCTAAACCGAGTCAGGTAAGTCCCAGAGCCTTGGCTTGTTGGGGCCTTGGGGGGTTTGTGAAGATGAAAATCCAGGGGCCTTAATAATTTGAATAGGGTTTTGGGGGGGGCTCCTTATTATGATTATAGTATGATATAATCTAAGGGCTTTAATAATTTGAATAGGGTTTTGGGGGTCTCCTTGCTCTGATTATAGTAGAATATACCCCCCAACCATATTCTAGTTATTGAGGCCCCTATGTTGGACATTTGTGCAAGATCTGATAAGAGGGGAGGTTCTGTAGGCGCGCAGGAGGTCCCCGAAACCCGAAGCCTAGAAAATTTCTCCTAGAATAAAGCAGCATGATTCCAGTTTCTCTATGTCGCAGTTTTACGGGGCCAATGTAATCGGGCCCATGATGATTAGAATAGGGCTCCGAGGGAACCCTACAGCACTGTTAGGTACCCTAACAAAAGCGGCTGATGTTACAACTTAGTCCGACACTGCGCTGCTATTCACGGGCATCTGTCGCTCAGACAAGGGAATCAAACGAATCCGTGGTCAGGTCAGAACTTACCTTGATTGCTTTTTCAGGCTGGCAATGATTGCATCGCCTTCAGAACAGCGAGAGGCCACAGATGTCAAGAAGAAGTATCTGAGGCTTCCCAATGTTGAACGGCAAACCCAGCTCCCGAACACGAACGTAAGAACCTGATTAAGAAACCTTGGGCCTTTAATAGGGTTCCATATATGAATCCTACTATTTGGGGGTTATAGGCCCAAGGTTTCTTAATCAGGTTGCTACATTAACCCGTCCGAAACCCTTCCGGACCTTGCTGTCCAGCAAAAGCTGCAACAGAAGTCGGCAGAGGAAAAGACTAAACCCACAAAGAAGAAAGCACCCCATGCCCGGTGTAATATGCTGCAAAGCCCCTAAGCCCATTAATCACTCAAACCCTAACCCCTAAACCCTGAACCCTAAACCCTATAGACCCTCACCCCCCAACCCTAAACCCCTAAACCTCTAAACCCCCTAAACCTCTAAACCCCCTAAACCCTAAACCCCCTAAAACCCCCGGAGCACCTAAAGAAGCAGACCATCGAGGCGCCTTGGGCTCGAGGTGGCCCTCGGGGTGCGCCACGGGAACGAAGCCGGCAGGCAGGGGCTCGCCCGGGGCAAACCTCAAAGCGTGGGCTCTTCTTGCCAAGACATACCCCAATAGGGACCTATAAGGGCTCCTTTAACGGATCTCTAAGGGTTCCTTTTCGGGTTTAGGGTTTAAGTTGCCATAGAGGGGATCTATTGTAAATAATGTGCGTCTTTACTATGGTATCTTAAAGTAAACCCCTTAACAAGAACCAGGAAGAGTATGATACATTGCCAGCGTCTTGGGATCCGGATCCCCATGGACCCCCTCTCATGGTAGCCTCCTGGCACCTAGCTAGCTCAGAAGCAGCCTTTGACTTGTAGTACACCCCAAAGAAGCTGCAAACCGGATTGGGGACAACTAGTGCCGGGAATTCCTATGCCTTACTCTTGCGGATTGAGGCTAGTGGGTTTCGAACTTTGGGGACTGTAGAGCTTGAAGAAGATGGGATCCCTGTACACAGCGAGTTTGGATTCTGCCACGGCTCCAAACCGTCGTCCACTGCTTTCGTAGCTAGCTACCCCTGCATCTTTGGTTAGACATCAACCAACCCACCCAACTTTCATAAAAATCAGGGGTCCAGGCATGAACCCGAAACAGTGGGTCCTGAATACAAACGTCCCCAAAAAAGGGCATATAAACGCTGAATAATAGGAACCATGACTTTCAAGAAGACCCCCTTACATGAAACACCCCCAACCCCGAGAAGCCTAGAGCCAAACCCGACACGCGTAACCTGAAACCCTGAGCCCTGAACCCTAAACCCTGAATCCCCTAAGCCCTAAACCCCTAAACCTTAAACCCCTAAACCCTAAACCCATAAACCGAAGCTTGGAACGCAGGCTGCCGGGGGGCCACTTGCCCTGGGAGTGGTCCAAGGCAGGAGACGGAAAGCCTCGGCAATGCTTGGCCAGGGGTTTTCTTAACAGAATAGGCTTTAGGGCTTAGGGTGCAAAGTCTCGAGTGTCCAGTCTCAGAAGGGTTCTATTCCAGGAATGTATAGGGACGACAGGGAGTCATATTGTGATCGCAGGCACAACGCGCTCCCCGGAGCCATCGGGAAGACTGACTGAAACTGTGTGAGCAGTGGTCGGGTCGCTTTCAGTCAGCCACCCATTCGCATCCTGACGCTGCACGTAGTCCGAGCATACCGAATCTCCAAGGATATGAGCCACCGTCAATACGTGATGAGTTCCCAAAACCACGCCAGTTCCCATGTATCGCGCGTCTCCAGACCGTGATGTTACAGAAACAGAGCTCCTGATCGCCGCCATGACGGAAGCCGCGCGAACGCGGTGCTCGATGGCGTATTCACGCACCACCGACAACACCTCCGTGGGCCTGAAGCCCTGCATCCTTACGAAAGTCTGGCCAATGGCTTCACCGAAACCCCCCAAGTCCGCATCGGCCAAACATCGTTAGAAGAAGACTCAAAGCTCGTTTGCTGTTATCGTATATAACCATATAATAATAGAGCGGAACAGTCTTACTTTTCTTGGTTTGTTTCGAACTCAACTGTAACAGGGCTTTTGGTGGTGATGGCACCTTTCCTCGCTTTAGGGAATTGCTGTTGTGAACGGGTGGAAAGACTCCTTTCATAAATCCAGAACCGTTCTACATTCACAAATTATATCATAGAGCGTCGATCTCAAAGCTACGCCCAAACTCCACTCAAAACCCACCTACCTCCCCCAACACTAAAAACGATAACCCCTAGTCGCCGAGACACCCAAATCCTCAACCGTCAACCCCTAGATTCTCTCGGCCCGAAGCAGGGGTTCTCGTACTCTGAGCTCCTATGAAATGCATTCTTAACTTTAAGAGCTTGGGGGTTTAGGCTTCGGAGTGCTGAGGTTTAGGTTTTGGGGGTGAAGGTTCCATGGGAGCCCCTCGAACTCTGTTGATCTGTGCTTCTCCAGCAGCTTCGACCCCCTCTCTTACTGAAGGTTTAGGGTCTGAGATTAGGGGTCGTTGCGCCGAACCCAAAGCCTCCCCTCAGCAAGATCACAGACCCTAACTGACTACTTCCCACCGATCAGCCCGTAGGAAGTGTGGAACCAGGACCTGCACACACTGCCAAAGGTGTCCTGAGGACTCGAAGCCCTATCTAACACTGAGAAACTAGGCCCCCGCAATTGAGAACAACACCGAACCTCAAAGAACCTCTACCCCGAAGCCTCAACCGCAAACCCCAGCTTGTCCTTACCCTCCTTAGACAATCTTATGCACCCCTGAAACCCCTCAACAAACAGCACCGAAACCCTCAACCCAAAACCCCCATGTTGCCATGCCGCTGTATGGCGAGCTCACCACCATGGACTGTGCCTGAGGGAGGAGGCTTCCATCAGCCTGCGGCGTAGTTAGAGGGTGCAGAGTTCAGAGTTTAGGGTTTAGGGGTATGTTTTCGGTTGTTATAGCAAGGGGCCCCCAAAGCTGTAATTAAAGGGTTCAGAGTGTAGGTTGCAGGCTCTTGACGAGATGTATAGGACTTGAGGGGTTGCGCTGGGTTCCACGGGGCTCTAGATGGCTTTGCCCAAACTTCTATATGGGCCTTGCAAAGCTTACTTTCCATGTTCGGAGTCTTTGACGCCCCCAAACCATACCCTAACCATACCCTAAACCCTAAACTTCTAAAACCTGCAGGAAACCCTAAAGTCCTCAACTTAAGGCCCTCAGCACATAGAAGCTTACGAGGGGTTAGGGCTGTGTCCTGGGCTCTGAGACTGTGGGCGGAGCTTTAAAGGCAGATCAGCTGGGGCTTTTGGGTTTAGGGTTTAGGGTTCAAGCTTGTTTTTGTTGAGCGCCTTTTTCCTTCTGCCTGTGATTGGGCAGTTCAATAAAGAAGGGTCCCCTTTTCAGGTCCGTAAAAGAGTACGGCACCCGTACAATGACAGGACCCCTGAAGGGAGCCTAATTTAAGGGCTTTTGGTGTTCCCGGCTTTCCTTTTTGAGGATGTCGAGATTGAGGGTTGGGAGGCCTACAGGCTTTGGTTTGTTTGTACAGCTTTGGAGCTTTTATGACATGGGGTTTGCGGCGCTCTGTGAAATTGAAACCCTAAACCCTAAACCCTAAACCCGAGCTTTACGGCTTGGAGCTTTAGAATTCTGCCGTTAAGGGCTCGACGCTTTGGGCTGTCCCGCTTCGACCTTAAGGGATCCACGGCTTCACGGATTCAGCTTCAGGGGTTCGGCTTCATGCTTTATTCTATAATACGGTTTAGGGTTTAGGGTTTAGGGTTTAGGGGTTTAGGGTTTAGGGTAACCACTATAGGCTTGCGTGTTTGCGGGCTTGCTTAGGGTTGTAATGACAGGGATGTTCATGGGGCTGTAGTATATAGTGGCCTGCAAGAACCCACAAGACCCTCTGCTCATTGTTCACAACCCTGTAATACCTGTACATACAACCACAGGAAGCCTTGTAAAACCCAAAACAACCTGTAACACTTCGGGGCTCTAACCCTCAAGGGTTCAGGCGGTTTTAGGATTTGCAGATTTCGGGCTTTACGGCACTAAAGCTGCAGGGCTTAAGGGCTGATGGCTTTAAAGCTTGACGGAGGGAGGGTCGAGCAATTGGGGTTTAAAGACTTTTTTTACTGTTTAGTTACCATAACTTGAACACCATGTCATTTACTATACATTCTTCTTAAACTAGGTTACCAAATATGCCCTGGTGTCCTCAGAGCGGACCGACGGATCATCCACTTTCCCATCTGCCCACGGCTTGAACGTGTAGCGCTGATCCCAGGTCTCCACATTTAGGGTTACCGCGGGGAAGGAGCGACCTCCCCCTGGGATCAGAGTTGTGGGACCAGTGCATCTCCTTCCCCCAATAAGGACATTGCAGCCAAGCGCCAACATATCCCAGCCAGTAGAACCGATGCGCGATGCGCGCTCCTCACTCCATGGGTGCTCACTCTGGCGTCGCGAAAGGTCGCGCACGCGCTGCTCCCAAGTTGGCGAATTTCCCGAGAGCATCGTCTCAATCTGGGCGTAAACCGTGACAGCATTTCTCCCGCAGGATTGGGCATCGGGAGGGTGTAAGCCCTCCGAGACCAACAGCTGGCACATGGCAGGATTAATGCGGTGCCCGTAATGTGTTATTTTCTGTATGGCAACCATATTATTTACTGTAGGTTCCTATGATGGTAACTTCAAGTAAATTCCTTAACAAGAGTCCAGTAGCATCCCAGGTGCCCTAGTGCATCCTGCCTGCATGATGTACGTGGTGGCTGCCGGCATCGTCGTGATCGGGGTGGCCTTTAGGCCCCAAGCGAAGCCCCATACTGCTGATGGACAAAATCCTGCATTACCCGTTATAAGGAATATACCATAGTTCCCATAGTTTAGGGTCCTTAAGGTCATGCAGGATTTTATCCGTCAACAGTACTCCAAGACCCTAATTGGAGTTTAGGGCTTAGGGGTTTAAGGCTTCGGGTTTAAACCTCATTGTCCTACGTCCTTGAGACCCGAACACTCGACACCTGAAGCCAACATGTAAACCGTAACCTGGCAGTTATGCCGTTATGCCTTAGAAGCTGCCCCCGCCCTGTAATAGTGATTATAAGGATTATATTAGGGCCCTATTATATTCCTACTATGCCACTATTACAGGGTGGGGGAACTTCTAAGTTCTGCCCAAGATCCTAGACCATACACACCGGAACCATCATCAATTCCCCTTAACCCCAGACTCAGACACTAAACGTTTAACCCTTAATTAACCCAAGACCAAGACACTAAACAGTCTGTCAGACCCGATTCATCAAAGGCTCTGGCAAATCGTACTAAGCCTTGCCCAAGTTGGGGGTAGGTCAGCCTTTAAAGCTTAGAGCGTAGGGTGCAGGGATCTGGGTTGAGAGGCCTGGGGAGTGTGGGGTTTAGGTCTAAGCCACGATTGCAGCTTGCCAATAATATGATCCTTCAACACGCGGACACACACACACAAACAACGACACGGAAGTCGTAAACCCCAAACAATAACACCTGTGCATCCCGAGACCCGAAATGTTATAACCCCTGCCTCAGGCCTAACAGAAAATCCCAAACGCGCCGCACCCCTGGAAGCTTTAACCTTATGACAAGCCTTAACACAAGATGAACTTGCACCCCAAATGCTAAGCCTTCCTAAAGCCCGAATCCGACTTCATGATGTTTTAGTCGGAGTACTTACTAGCGTTACAAACGGTATCTGATTCTACGCAGTTCCTGTATAATTATGCTAAAATATAACATACTGCCAGACCCCCTTAACCATTCAGGCCCTATATCATACTATTATAGGACCCCTGCAAAAAAGACTGAAAGGAAGCCTGTTACAACTCTTATTGAGGACCCTACAAACCATTCAGGCCCTCTATATACATATATATATATATATACCCTTATACGTGGAACCCCTTTAATGCAAAGCCCCGAAACGAAGCTTTTCTAATTTTGATTAAGGACCCCAAATGAGACCAAGCCCTGTTCGACGTAACATGCCGTCTCCCGGAAGCAAGCCTGGGCGCTCGCGTAGGTCCTGACCATGAGGTTTGGGTTTGGGGGTTTAGGGTTTGAGGTTCAGTGTAGACTCCTAGTGGATAACAGACAAGGGCTAAGCCCTAAACCCTAAACCCTAAACCTCTAAACCCTGAACTCCCCGAGCCCTCAAAGCCCAAGCCCCTAAACCGGAGACCCAAAACCCTAAAAGAACTGCACCCTTGCAGAACCTCCCGAGAGCCCTCTTTTCCACAGCCCCCTAAACCCTGAACCCTAAGCCCTAAACCCTGAAACCTAAACCTTAAACCCGAAACCCCTCAACCCTAAACCCTAAAACCTAAACCTTAAACCCCTAAAACCCTAAACCCCAAAGCCCCAAGCCGCAAATGTCCACAACCCCCCGAAAAGACGGTCGTGATCGGCTGTGCCGCCGCCGAGCTGGACATTGTCGTCACCTCTCAGGGCTTGGGGGTTTAGGGCTCCTTTTAAAGGGATTTTTAAAGGGATCTATAAGGGTTCCTATAAGGGTTGAGGGTTTGGGGTTAGGGTTAGTTGTTTAGTTTTTTTTTTTTTGGGGGGGGGGGGTTCCTTTTTGGGTCGTTTAGGGTTTAGGGTTTAGGGTCTTGGGGTTGAAGGTCCAGGGTCTATAGGGTTTAGGGCTTAGGGATAGGGTTTAGAGCCACCACAGAGTCTTTACAGGGGTTGAGAGTTTGGAAGGGGAAGGGGCTTAGGGTTGAAGGATTTAGAGATTTACAGGTTCAGGTGTTACAGAAAACGTCCTCGGGTGTTTAGGAGGTCATCAGAGCTGTTCACACGAGGTTGTCGGAGCTTCTGGGAGCTGCAGAGTAAAAGCCTTTAGAGGGTCTGTGAAGGCATTGGTGTGGGATAAAAAGATCTGCATAGGGCCATCGAGTTCCAGAGGGCGTTGCATGAGTGGGTTACAAGAGATGTGAAAGGTGCTTTAGGCTCGGGGTCTAGGGCGGTTCAGGCTTAGGCTTTAGGGTGCTAGGGCATCCCCTTGCAACCGAGTCTTAGACTGCCTTTCGTCAAAGCAGCTTTAGGAGAGAGACCGAATGTCGGGGTTTCAGATTGCAAGCTTCCTAAGACGTAAACCCGTTATTCCGGCCAACAGTAGGCAAGATTGCGAGTTTCTGGGTTGTAGTTTAGGGACCCTTAAAAGCATCTATGTAAGGCTTTAGGTACCTCTAAAGAAACCATAAAGGGAAATCAACATCTTCCCAAACTGGCACCTAGGTTTGTACCTTCCCCAAGCCCGCGAACCTCAGCCAAAAGCCGAATGCGCTGCTTTGAACCCTCAACCTCTAACTCTCAAGCACAAAATCGCCATACACGCCCAACACAGACCCTATACCTTCTGCTTCTTCATTCCTCAGAGCATCATAAGGCGCCTTAGATGATGAAAGAATATAGTCATTCTATCTTTGCTGTTGCAACGCTGCCACCGTAAACCCTCAAACCCCATGACCTGAAACACCCAACTTTAAAATCCTAAACACAAAGCCTCGAAGACCTTAAACATTAAACCCTAAACTTTGACATAGGGGCCTTAATAATTAGAATAGGGTCTTGGCGCCCATCATACTATGACTAGATCAAGGAAACCCCTCAAAAAAATGAGTAATTATTAAAGCCCCAAGTTATACTACAGAACCCTACTATAGATCCCGCCTTATAGACCCCTTTAAAGAAACCCTTTAAAGGAACCCTTTAAAGGAACCCTATAGTGCAAAAAGGAACACTATGTTAAACCAGCCAAGGGACAGGCTGGGCCATGGCTTTTCCACCAGATCGCTGTTGATGCCCGGGCAGGGAGTAAGAAGAACGGCTTCGGAAAAGGGACCGTTCTTTTCGGAGAAGGTCTGAGGTAGGGTATGTAAACCCTAAACCCTAAACCACCCTAAACCCCTAAGTAAGAAGAACGGCTTCGGAAAAGGGCCCGTTCTGAGGCTTTAGGGTATGTGGGTGATTGTCAAAATTAGGGCCTAGGTGCCGTATTATAATAAGGACCCAAAAAGGGACCCTAACTTTGACAGCCACCCATGTAAACCCTAAACCCTAAACCATCCTAAACCCTAGACCCTGAACCTGCTCCAAGCCCCTCAACCCCAGACCAGAAACCCTGGCGTCGGAGGGTGAGGTGGAGTTAGGGGCTTCGTGGCTTTGGGTTTTTTTGTGGTTTTTGGGAGGGTACTTGTGTTTGGGGTTCGGAGGCTGTTAGGAGCAGGCTAAGGGCTTAGGGTCGAGAGTCGAAAAGTTCAACATAGGGCTGATGGGTTGCGAGGGGTTTACTTTAGGGCACAAGGTTCAGGGTAAGATAGGGGGGCCTTCACAGTCAGAATAGGGTGTCCATTAAAGGGGTCTATTAGGGATCTGTACCGGGGCTCTATAGCATAGGGGCCTTACGAACTGGAATAGGGTCTTGGGGCCCATTGTACTCTAATTATAATAAGGAGCCCCCAAAATAGTACAGGTAATTATGTAGGCCTTCATACTTGGAGGTTCAGGGGTAGTTATAAGTGCCGTTATAAGTTGCCTAATATGGGTTATAAGTACAGTTACCTAACTTATAATATAACCCTACTAGTTGTAACTACCCATGAACCTCCAAGTATTATGGGCGGCCCATGAAACCCTGCAAGAGCTAGGCGCTGTTCTTGCCCGAGCTGCAAGCAAGTCATTTGCGGAGCAGCCTGCAAAATCATCCCTAGGAGCATTTTGTTCTCATTAGCTGCAAGGCGCCACCGCGTTCCGGAATGCTAAACCTTTGTCACTTAAGCTGTAGGCTTTCGTGTTTGGAGGTGCAGGTTCAGGATTTGGCTCAGGCCGGACTGAGCATGAACAGCAAGCTTAGCCACTCTAGAAAAAGTATTAGAAGAGTGCGGGTGATGACGCTCGCACCCGGTCTAGATGGGCTCGCACTGTAAAAATTCTACCCGCAGAATCTTGAACAACCCCCGCCACAGACGCTCAAGCTTGGAACTAAGTTGAAACTGAACATATGGTTCCAGCGTTGTGTTCTTCTCGTTCTGTCATCGGGGCGTACCCACCTTAGACTGCGAACCCCCACATTGCTGCAGTCTGAGCTTAGGCATACGTGTGCTGAATGCTTCAGACCTTTGAAAGATGAAGGCAATAATCAACACGGCGCCCGACTATCATCGCGAAGAGCATACATAGTCGCTTTAAACTTACATTGTCGGACGTCGCAGGTCTAATGTACAACCCCGACCTCCGATCCCAAAACCTGAACCCTGAACCCTAGTATGAAACCAAACGGAAAAGCCCTCGCCAAGCCTCCGTTTCCCACTAATCCCTTGGTTTAGGGTTCTTAGCGGGTTTCAGAGTTTATGGTAAGCTCAAGGCTTTCCCAACACAGAAGAGCTAGAAGGGTAAACTCCCTAAAGTGCACTAATGCCCCCGACACCCCATGAAACCCTACGAAACCCCGCATCAAATCCCAAAGAAGAATCCTGAAGCTACTACGGGAGGACCTAACAAGGGGCCGAACTACGCAGAATAGAGTTGTGGGCTACGTTGGACTTTCATTTCAAGAATCGTAGCACTCGTTCAAGCTATTTTTGGAACCTAGTGACACAAAGCCCTATACCCTAAATCCTAAACCTTATAAACCCTCAATCCTAAACCCTAAGCCCTACACCCTAAACCCTATACCCTAAACCCTAAACCCTATACCCTATACCCTAAACCCTAAACCCTAGACCCTAAACCCCCAAACCCTAAACCCTTTGCCCTAAACCCTATACCCGTAAACCCCAAACCTCGGGCTTCGAGTTGCACTGGCATTCCTCGCTAGGGCGCCTCCCTGGGCCTGGCGGCAGCCGGCTGTGGCGAAAACCACAGCCCTGTCTGAGATCTGAGGAGAGCCGGCCATCCTTTAAAGGGATCTATAGGGGCTCCTTTAAAGGGATCTATAGGGGTTCCTTTAAAGGGACGGTTTAGGGTTCAGGGGCATCTCGGTGTACGGTAGGCGCCTGAATATTTAGAATAGGGTGTTGGGGTACATCATACGATACTTCCAACAAGGCCCATCTCCATGCACTTAAACCTTCAGAAACAACAAGTGGTTAAAAATTCACGGGATCTATACTACCGGGGCCATAATAGTGAAAATAAGGTTTGGGGGTACATGTACGAGTGCAGAGCATAATCACAATAAGAACCCTTCTCATTACGAACGCTTAAGAAATAGTATTGGCGGATTTTGGGCTTCAGGGTTTGAGGCTTGGTCTTTAGAGTAGTTTGGGTGTAAGGTTTGATTAGGGTTCCCCAAACCCTATACCCTTGGCAAGCAGAAAGGGTACAGTAGCGTGCATTCTCCCACAGACCTTCCGACAAAGGTAGAGCAGTCTAGTCCGTTCGAAAGCAAGCCTTTTCGAACGATGCTCTTGTCAAGAATACAGGTCCGGCATTTCATGAAGGCGTCTGCTGTGAGAGCAAAACCTCACTGTATTCTGATCCACCGCTAAGCCCCAGATCTCATAATGCGTTCATCGGGTTTTATAGCGGGTGCGGCGAGGTTCTTGCAGGGATGTCGATATGCCAGAATTTTTTCAGCGGTTCATAACAGTCCGACGCCTACGGTCTTGAACCCGAAATTCATCTTTGCAAAACTTCGGTTGCCGGGACCCATGTGAAAATATCACCGTGTCTTGCTGACTTGGACCGGGATATGGGAGCAGCTAGCATTTCTACACATGGCACCTAGCACAGGCTATGTAAAGTTCCACCTTCAATCTCAAACGTTAAATCCTCAACCGTAAACCCCACACCATAATCTCGAAAAAGCTCGATGAAACTCAAAGGCAAGACTTCGTGCTCTGAATAACCTTAGAGCACCAAACCCTTCAGCCCTAAGTCATCAACCGGAAACCTCAAAACCCTCACGTACGACCGGCCGAGCCCTAACACTCACAAGCCGTCTTAACCCCCTTGCAAAGAATAGCTAAAAGGATGGAGACTCCTGGTTCGTCAGCCGTTTAGGGTTTAGGGTTTAGGCAGGAGGGATGCTGCTAGTAAGTAGTAAGGCCCTTCAACAGATAGGGTGCTCTTCAAAATCATTGGCAACATCGAGCTATATGTCTACAACCTCAAACTCAAACTTCAACAGGTTAAAACGCACTCTGTAACTCTAAACTGCCTAAACTATGTGTATATATATATATATACAAAAACCAAACAACTAAGCCTTCATCGTCGCTCGTTTCTACAGGCTCCCATAAACTGAAAGCTCACAGTCTAAATCCGTAACCTTACAAGACCTATACCAAACCCTACGAAATTCTGCGAAACCCTACAACCCCCGGCCCTCTTGCGTCTTCATGTCTGCGGATCGATCGCTGCAGCTCAGCAGCAGCCGGTGTTCTTCTTCTTCTTGCTCCTTGGGGGCTGTTCTAGCGATCCACCGAGGTCTCTTAGAGCTTGTAGGGCTTGGAGGGTCTATAAGGCTTCTGGAACTTGTAGTTTTATACCTTCCAAAAATTCCTTAAAGGGCTCCATAAGCGATCTGTAGGGTTCCGTAATATTTGGCTCTTGAAGAGTTTTTTCGGTTCTTTAATTAGGGTTTACAGTAGGGGTTTAAGGCTTAGGGGGTTTAGGGGTTGAGGGCTCAGGTTCTATAGGGCATCAGAACTTCACAACGCTTCTTTGGGGGGTTTTACAGAGGTTGCGTGGGGGCTTCACAAGAGCTGTATAAGGCTTCAAAAACAAGAATAACAGAAATACTGATAGTCATCGTAAGCGAGTTTTAAGAAGGGTAGTAATAAAACAAGAAGAAGAAAACATAGTGTTGATAATGGTAATCGTAATCATCGTAATAACGGTGGTAGCAAACATTACAATGCTAGTAGCCGCCAACGCATACTGGTTTACTGGTTGTGATGCTGCAAGCCAAAGCGGTGGCCCCGGTATCAGCGATGGCATGTCACCCATCACAGGCCTTAGCCAGTGATCTGCAGGCATAAGAAGAACTGCACGACCGCATTCCCAAAAGTTCGGAAAGGGTGAGCATTACTATTCTTATGATTCGATTTATTGTGACTGTTATTACTAACAATCTTATTCTTATTCTTACGCTTACTTGTATTCTTGCCCTTATCATGGCAATCATTACCATTATTGAATCCGACCTCTGTACTCCTCAATTGCATTGCCAAGCGGCTTCTTCTTGTCAGCCTGTTCGAAAACGTTTGTTTTTGTCGTAGGCTGTGGCTGTAGGGGTCGAGCTACATCTTTAGCAGCCTCGCTGATTCAGTTATGGCATATGAGGCGCTGCTGGAATGGTGATCGCGAACCATGGTTTGTCTGCTTGCTGATGGCCACTTGCAGCGTCCTTGTTCGATGTGCGCGTGCGAGACGATCGAAAGGCCCTAAACTAAGCCTAAACCCCTTCCTAAGACTCCTAAGACACCGAATGGTTATAAGGGCCTGCATAGAGTGGGGTTTGAGTAGAGAACACCCTAAACGCAGAGACCTGTCTACATCGCTACTACAAGTCTTGTTGCAATATCCGCCACAGCTCGGCTCGGGGACTACATCAGAATGCTACCGCTCAAGCCCCTGAAACTCAACAAGAAACGACACCACAAACCCAAAAAACCCTCTCTTCCACACCGACCTGCTTCAGACAAACCTGAAGATGCGATCCTGCACACCTTCACCCTACACCTAAATGACTCTCTCGGCGTTCCATCCCCCTCAGGGCTTAATTGCCAGATTGCTGGTCCCTAGCTCAGATGGCAAATACTTAAGCGCAG